GAGTATATCGTCAGTGCGAACACGTTGCAACTCATCACACAGAACAGGGCACATGAGCCAATTTTCTTCAATGTAACTGCGAGATCATTTTCGCGCCAAATCGGCAATTGGAGTGAAATTTACACTAGCTATCGCGGTCGTCTGTCAATCCAAATCTACAAAAAGCTTTTGTTTGCAAGGAAACGCCCCAGGCTTGAAGGATATCCGTTCTTTTTTCATTTTTGTTGATTTTTTCATATTTTGTTTCCTCCTTACTTCTGTATCTCTGGTCATTTCCTCGAATATGTTACATGGCAATCACAATAATGAAAACAGTGCCAGACCCTACTCATCACGTATAGGCCTTGTCAATATCTGTACAAGAAATATCTCAAAAGGGCGTCGTCTGCTCATTATATCATGAATATTAGACAGTTGTCCCATCTCGTACTATATACCACACGCTATTATTTCTTCTTTGTGTATTTCTTTGCCCGCCCCCCATCTTTTTCGTTTGGTTTTATTTGCTTGTTTTTAAGCATAGTTTGAATCTGCATGGTCACGCTTCGAAAAGATTCGTGGCATAGATTTTTTTTCTGGTGAATAAAGAAAGCACCCTTAGATCATGTGATTATTTAATTACACTGTTTATGTTCTGTATGTAGATGTATCGTAGCCGGGTGGTTTCAGCACTTGACTGAAAATGCAAAAGGTCGTGGGTTCGATCCCCGATAAGGCAATAATATCCTTTGGCAGGGAATAAATCAACATATTTCACTTCATACCCATGGAGAGAGAAATGGGGACCTGGTAGGATGACTAAAGGCATTTGTGTCTAGTCATTTTCATGTGCCATCGCGGCTACCACATGGAAGTGGAGTGGAGTGGAGATGGTGCACATTTTTGTGTGAATGAATCTGATGACCGGGGAAATAATTTTTGTAAAGCGCTTAGAGACGTTCTTTCGTATCAAAGGACAAGTCCACTCCATAATAACCTACTTTCAATTAAAGCAGAACAATCAGACAAACCAATCAAAAACAGTTTGAGCAAAATCGGATAACTAATAAGAAAGTAATGAATTTGTAATGACATGAACAACTTTGAAAATCAAAAAGGCACTAGACAAATTGGCAACTCTCCCATGAGTCTGTGACGGCATTGCCTCACTATCCACTAATTGTTGTCTTTATATTGATAATATAAAGACAACAATTTTCCCCCTAAAAATCTTATTTCCTTATACACTAGCATTCAAGTTATATTGATAGTAATATTTTTTTTTTGTGAATGCACTAAATAAATGTAAAGTTTTTTTCTTCAGTTAAATCATGACAAATGTGAATTTTGATAAACTATCAACATTGCCACAGCAATGGGACAAAGTATGGTTAAAAAGAAAGAAAAGAAGCGTGAGAGAGAGAGAGGGATAGAGAGTGAGATAGAAGGAGATAAATAATTATGATATATCTTTAATGGATAAATGGTTATCATCATACTTTAATAATGTCTACCTGGAAACGGAAAACGCATATCAAAGCGTGGTAGGTAGAGGCCGTGTGCATAACAAAATCATAGACATGGTTAAATGCCCAAGAAGGTCTTTTGAGGGGAGGAAGGGGGGGGGGGGGGGTACTGAAGAGGCTTCTAGTGGTAAACAAGATGATTATAACCGTAATCATTGTTGTGTAGTATTGTAAAGCTTGGTAACTGGTCTGAATTTGAGCGGATTATTGTCTGATTTGGAGATATTCTCTTTGAATAAAATAGGATTACAAAAAAAAAAATTCACAGGTCCGTGCTATTTGTGAAAGGATTATAAGATAAGATTTTGAAAGCGATTTTTCTTTTCTTTCTGATAAGTCCGAGATAAATTGTTCTTTAGCCCAGGGGCCCTCGATAAGGGGCATTATGAGCCTTTAGAACCTCATGCCAAATGATACAATTCTCAAAACGCCAACGCATACGTTGCTGCTTATGTATTTTAGTCCGTTGTAGAAATTATGCAAATATTTGACTAAAAATGTCAAAATTACATAAGCAGTCTAAACAGAATGAAAACTTTTGCTGGGATCGATTCGTAAAAGGGGAATTAGCGGCGTGGCTTGGGAAACCCGACCCCCCCCCCTCACCCGCCATTGTTGTTGTTGACAAAGAGACAAAGACAAAGAGAGAGAGAGAGAGAGAGAGGGAGAGAGAATTACCATATATCTGTAATGGTTAAATTGTGTAAATTTGTAATTTGTTAATGGCAACCTGGAAACGGAGAACTTACTTCGGGACGCTTATCAGAGAAACGGTAGGTATTTGGCGTATGCATAGCAAATCATAGACATGGTAAATGCCCATACAGGCAGGGGCGGATCCATCCGGCGGCAAGAGGGGGGGGGGGGCAAATCTTGAGAAAATATTTAGCGGCGAATCAGCGATTCAGGGGGGGGGGTTCCAGTTTTGGGGGGATTTTTGCGCCGAATCAGCCAGCCGGTGAACGGAAAATAAGCGGGGGGAGGGGGGATGCTTGAGAGGAGGAACACTATTTTTTTTTTTGGGGGGGGGGGGGGGGAGGTGAAGCGCCATTTTTACATGACTTTCTTTTTAACTCTCACTTTCACCTATCCCAGATAACCCTAAGTTGTTTGTTGCTGCTTTCTATGTAGTTGATAATGTATGATTAAAATAAATATATAGAGAGAGAGAGAAACCCCCATCATCATTATGCAATGGTTCAGGGTTTGTGTAATGTACATTTGAAACCATTTCTTAGCGTCTCAACCCTAAAAAAATATATAGCGAAACTATTTTTGAGGAAAAGCATTATACTGAACTTAATGAATAATAATAACTTTATCTCATAGTCATACTAAATACTAAATACTGATACGGGCTAAAGACAATGTTGTATCGGCACAGTAAGGTCGGGTATTTTTACAGAGGTATTCCAAAATGACATTCTGATAATCAACATTTTGTTCTGTATTCATTATGTATATACGCATACTACACTTATCTTCATGATGTCTTTAACGTGACATAGCTTCTTCTCCCCTTGCAAACGAGAAGGAAAACAAGGTCATTAAAAGGGATTAAGTGACAAATAATGATTGTGATTCAAATTGTAGCAATTATTTGTTTGAATAAGCACTGCTATTCACCAGAATCTACTTTGTAAAAACAAGTTTTACAAATCTCTACCATGCTTACTGAGTTGAGACGTTCCATTCAATTAAAAAAAACTCATTAAAGAATACACTTCTCCTAATTTGAAAGTGATCTTACAGCGCAGTGGCATAATTGCATGGCTGAGATTTTGTTCAAGTCGTTTTTACAAAGAAGATTCTAGTCAAAAGCATTGCTTATTCAAAAAAAATCTTTGCATCAATTTGAATCACAATGATCATTTGTCGCATGATCCTTTCATTAAATAACCTTGTTTTCTCTTTTGTTTGCAGAGGGAGAAGAAGCTATGTCACGTTAAGAAATCATAAAGATCAGTGTTTTAATACAATGTGTATATAATATATACGCATAAAACACTGATCTTTATGATGTCTTTAACGTGACATTGCTTCTTCTCCCCTTGCAAAAGAGAAGGAAAAAAGGGTCATTAAAAGGGATTAAGCGACAAATAATGATTGTGAATCAAATTGATAGCAATTATTTGTTTGAATAAGCACTGCTATTCACCAGAATCTACTTTGTAAAAACAACTTTTACAAATCTCTACCATGCTTACTGAGTTGAGACGTTCCGTTCAATTTAAAAAACTCATCAAAGAATACACTTCTCCTAATTTAAAAGTGATCTTACAGCACAGTGGCAGAATGGCTGAGATTTTGACTAGAATCTTCTTTGTAAAAACGACTTTTAAAGTCGTTTTTACAAAGAAGATTCTAGTGAAAAGCATTGCTTATTCAAAAAAATCTTTACATCAATTTGAATCACAATGATCATTTGTCGCATGATCCTTTCATTAAATAACCTTGTTTTCTCTTTTGTTTGCAGGGGGAGAAGAAGCTATGTCACGTTTATAAGAAATCACAAAGATCAGTGTTTTATGCGTATATATTATATACAAAGGCCCCGCGGAATGTTTATCAAAGTCGGGGGGGGGGGGCGAAAGTATTTGCGATCAGGTAGAGGGTGGCGAGTGAAGCTTGATAAAATATTTAGTGGCGAATCAGCCAGCCAGCGAACGGCGAATGTGCGGGGGGGGGGGGGGCAAATGTATTTGTTTAAGGTAAAATTTACGTTACTATCCTATTAAAAAAAAACGGTTTGGGAGGCTAGGGGGGGGGGGGCTGGGCCGGTAGAATCGGCCCGTGGATCCGCGCCTGCATACAGTTGGTATGATATCCTTTAGTTATTACGGACTTGATGTAGTATACCGTATAGAATATTACATAATTCTAGTGGTAGTTACGGGGGAGATGGGGAAGTGGGGAGGGTTTTTTGATTGACATATCCATTCAATGGCCAGACCCAGGGAAAAGGAGGGGTCACAACTTGTATCCCTACTACCTGATCTTTCTACTTCCCCCAAGCAAAGTCGTCACCAAAACGTTAACTGAAGTCAACAGTTAACAGAACCACCACCCCATTACATTTCGGAATTACGATTTTTGTATTTATCATTAGAACAAATGACATTATTATTATTGGATCTAGTTTTCTCGTATTATCCCATTTATCATATTGGTCTTGTTTTATTCGATGTGTTCATAATCGTTACATTTGGATGGCTGTGAGTAAAGTTGTTGTACAAATGTGAAACTTGTTATTGATAAAAGAGGGTTTTTATTAAAATTGGGCCCAGGTACCTATATATTCTTTGTTTAACAGCCATCACGGTCTAGAAAGCGGGGACAATATTTCGAATCCTTTCAAATCTTTGAAGGAAAGGATCCTTTTGTTAACGTAACGCTATTAAAAAGCAAGATCACAACTTTTAATGATACTTTACCTGGTCTTTTCTGCTTCCACCTACACAAATATGCAACTAAGCTGTTTTATTACCAGAAAGAGGGGACAACGTTTCAAATCCTTTCAAACCTCTGAAGGAGGGGCTCCTTTTGTGAACATATCTCTATAAACCGCACCTCCTTCAAGAATTCGCAACATTTTTCATCGATACATTCTACCCAAAGGTACTGGTTGATTCGTTCTATGATGGAAGGCTACACTATACTCTCGCTTCTTCTCTGCCTCAGTGTGCCAAGTGCATTAGCTAATGATGGTAAGAAATACATTTCTTTCATTCACTTTTTATGTATCTATACCGAGGTTACCAGGGGAAGAGGGGGGGGGGGGGCGTGATGGGCCCAACAAACGCATACGGGAGAAAAGCCTATATCTGTATCATAGCTAAATACAGGAATAAAATAAGGTAAGTTCGCACCCTGAATATGTAAGAGGTAAAATCGTGGGGGGGGGGGGGGGGGTCACCTTCATTTTTTACAATCTAACGAAATCAACGACCACTTGCTGAGCTACTTTAAAGAGGTCCGTACGATAAAATACTTTAAGACTCTCTTTTCTCAGGGTAAAGATTTTTCGTTGGTAAATCACTTTATTGATACTTGATATAACACGATAAGAAAAGCACAAGACTTGACCGTGCAGGTAATGTAAAAACATACAAATAATTAAAAACAACTTTTAAAAATCGTTATGTTACTTAATAATATACAGATTAAGTAGCCACGTATCAATATCGATACAACATCGGAAATTAGCAGGAGCATACTTTCTTTCTTTATATTCGTGAATTTTGTGCAAAATGCACTTGTTTCGAGGGGACCGATAATTCCAAATTCTAGAATCAGTAGTTTCTTAAGATTTTGCCGAAACAAATATCAAGGGTCAGATTTGTCTGGGTATATTTAACTGGCACTGTAGATATACCTATCATTAAATTTTGTTCATGGTTCTGTTGATGCTCGTTGGAGCTTGACGCACGCAGTTGTCATTTGTTATAAATACTTAATAAAACAAAACCACGGCGGTTATGTTATCCAGCTTGTTTAGATACTAGTATGTGGCAATACGTTGAAAGAAATTGTGTTAAGCCTCGGTCACAAATACCATTACGAACTGCTACGAACCCCGTACGAACGATTTTCAGACAATGGAAATTCGGGAAGACAATGGAAAAACAGAGAGATTCGTACGGAATTATCGTTCCTACGAACCTTTGTGACCGTATTTTAGCATTACGTGGTTTTACCTGGTGTTATGTGGTGATATGTCGTAGTGATACGTGGCGTTATTATTAAGCACAATTATTAACCGTTTTTAATGACCATTGCAGAATTATTTCATTTCATATATTCAATGCAAATATCCTTTTCAGTGGTGCGACTTGTCGGAGGTAGCTCCGCCAGTCAAGGTCGAGTCGAGGTCTATTATGATGGGTCATGGGGCACAGTATGCAACCGTTATTGGGAGCTGAAGGACGCTAATGTAGTGTGCAGGCAGTTGGGCTTCCCTGGAGCTGACAGCCAAATCACAGATGCCCAGGGGTGGTATTCTGAACATTGTTGTAAGTTTTGTGTTATCTTTTGTTGTATCTTCCAGAGATAACACAGCGCTAATATTGTTGTAAGTTGGTATTCTGAACATTGTTTTATCCCTGTGTTATCTCTTGAAGGACCGCCTCTATCTTATCTTTGACCATTGATGACACGCCCATTTTTATGGACCCTACCAATCAAAATCTATTTTATATAAGCATGATAAGTAGATCAACCAATAGGAATACTTTATGCCATATCTGAAGATGCGCCTAGCGCATACTAATCTTGGGCGTAATTAGTTATTTGAGCACTTATTACGCGCGTCATCATTATGCGCTGTTGAATGTGGATCATGAAGACAAATCACGCTTTCACTATATTGGTTAAGATGAGAGCATTAAAATAGTCCTATCCTAGCATGTAATATCTTAGAAAGTTCTCATCTGTGATGTTTCCGGTCAACACACAATCTTCTTCTAACTCGTCTATTGGCACGAAGTTGGTTATGGGCAAAAAATATTGCCGCCATTATATCACCACGAAAGATACAACAACCCCCTACCTGTTGTAAATATTGTTGTAAATACCATGCAAGATAAGATAAGATAAAAGATACAACAACTTTCAGAATACCAATTATCTCGACATATTATCTCCCGTGCGCATATGCAAATGAGAATTAAATGCCACTTTATTAATAATACGCACAATTACAAGCGCACCAAAGTATTATTAGCGCAGGCGCGGCCAATAAGATGAGAGAAAAGATACAACAAAAGATAACACAAAAGTTACAACAATGTTCAGAATACCAACTTTATCTTATCTTCAAAGATACAACAATATTAGAGATAACACAGGGTTCAGAATACCGCCCCAGGTCTTCGGCGCAGGCTCAGGAGTGGTCCACCTTGACGGTGTGGAGTGCGAGGGCTACGAAGCTTCAATCATGGACTGTCCAAGGTCCGCATTCGGGGATGTTTGCTATCACGACCAGGATGCCGGAGTGAAGTGTCTCACTAATAGTTGTAAGTCACCTACATCTCAAAACTTCGCCCCTCCCTAACAAATAAATGCAAAGATAAATGCATTCAACTAAAAATGATTAAAAAAACGATTCGCCACTGTAGCTTCCTATTATTCAACAAATAATACAAAAATACAGCCATTATACTTTTATCTGGAAACTGCCTTTCATTAAAAAAAAAAGTATTAAGAATTATAAAGCATATTTCAACTAACACATTTGATAATCATTCATTGATAAATATTCGAAGTATGTTCGTATACATTTTTTTGTTTAACGTTTAACAAATACGTTGCTGCTCTTTCATAGTGTTTTGTTTGTCGTTTTTCTTCCTTTTACTTTACGATGATGTGATTTTAAATTCAATTCTAGTATTATTTGTATTCTCATCAGAGCTAAAATGGCCAGGTTAGATATTTAATAAATATATGTATTTAATAGTACAATTATTGCTAAAGGGTAAATAGAAGGTATTGACTATTTTCAAAGACTGAGGCAAAACAAATATGATCATCCAACGACTGAATGACAGTAAGTAGTTCTCATTCAGAAGCCTGCGTTAGGCATATCCAATGAAGAATAGTGTATTCTTTTGATATAAATGATGCAACAAGAATGAATTGAAAATGTTTTTTTTTTATCTCCCTATTTCCGCAAATATTTTATCAGTTAGAGTACGTGAAGAGGAGGATTTTGATTTTTATCAAAGAGAAGACATGATGGAAGAGGAGAAAAAAGAAAAGGTAAGGGTCATCTTCAAAGACAGATGAGAATGGATTTTAAAGAGATAATAAGCGAGTTCGTAAATAGCTCTGGACCGCATGACCCCAAAATATCCACAGATCTTTTACACGATGGATACTTCCCACGTGTGCATTTTAGAATAATCACTGCCGAAGTGATGGAGGTGCTTCATGAATACCTTTTGTTTGCCTCTTGAGAAGAATACTTCCACCTGTGTATCAGATAAATGTATTGTTGGTGCATAAATGAATACTGATTATATAACTTTCATGAGCACGATCCGAGTATTCGTCTCAATGGTTTTACAATTTGGGTACGAATGACCTTGATCTGCCCATGCGCAAATCCTATTTACGAACTCGCTTATTGCTCTCAACTACTGTACGTGTAGTTAATGCACCATGTGTCTGTGTGTGTTTGTGTGTATATACAGTACGTATCAAAAAGGTGTAACAAACTTTGGTAGCTTCTAATTAAAAAGTTGTAACCTATGTGACATTAAAACCCATTTAATGGTTATTGTTAACTAATGCCACAAGCTGGGACAAGGCGGTCAAAACAATAAATGAATTCCTACAATGTACCTACATGTACAATGTATCTATTTACTTCAATCCGGGTAGAAATTAGCGGCAAATGTAGATTGATGTCTTGCTAAAGAACATTAGCGCCGCGGCGGAACTCGAACTGCGACCCATATTGTGATTCACAGTCCATTGACGTATCGTGGAGTTGTCATTCGTTTGATTCTCAAGGGTTGAGGGTTTGAATTCCACTAATAAGGACTTTTAGATTTACACGACGAGAACGTGGACCACCACGTATGACATCCTTTTAAGGTAATGTGACATCCTTTTAAAGCAATGCCTTGCACGGCCCAGTGCCTTAACACAATGTCAAACGCGGCAGTCCACGCTCTCGTCGTGTAAATCTAAAAGTCCCTATTGTCTTTTTGACAAGACATGCCACTCTTCACCCAGCTGCAAATGCTGGGGTAATACTTATAGGGCCCTCCGGAAGCACAGCAATGATGATGATAAGGCTTCTATGGGAAAACGAAATGTTGTAGTAGTAGTAGTACATGTAGTAGTAGAAGTAGTAGTAATAATAACATACCTTTCTTATATAGCGCATATCACACTATGTCTCTATGCGCTGTATTAGTAGAAGAGGGGTCACGCTTCTGGTTGTAGAATTATCATCATCATCATCATCATCATCATTATCATCATCATCACTATATCATCATTATCATCATATCATCATCATCATCATCATCATCATCGTCTCCATCATCATCATCATCATCATCATCATCATCTTCACCATATCATTATAAATCATCATGTTTTATTTTCTTAAAAACAGGCGGCTGCTGACGAAGGATCCGATGCCAAAAAGGATGCTGACTTGATGAAGAAAGACATCCTTCAGGCCCTATATGATCTCCTGGTCGAACTCGAGGACAAATAGATGATACAAGGCAGCGGACACACTGAACTTGGGGCGGACTGGGAGCTAAGATATATAGAAGCTTTTTTCCTGAACGTTTCGCTGGGCCGTTTTATTCAATCACGGTTGGGTCTTGACGTATAACGTGTGATCGTTACAGCGGAGTCGAAAATGACCTCTTATTTTTCATACTTTCAACAACTTTTTCCCGTAAAAATATAGAAAAATGATCTCATTTGCACAAGAGCTGGTACAAAGAAAGGGCTATAGATAAATCTTTATGTTTAAATTATCGAGTACACAGTCATAGAAAGTAGCCTCTTCTCGAGAAGAAAAAAACAACTTTTATACCCATTTACACGTTTGTGAACAAAATTATATCACCCCTTTTCATCGAATTTTATGCTCTTTAAAAAAAATATTAAAACAAATAAAAAATAAAAATAAAAACAAAATCCCTATTTTTTTTGGCGAAATTTCTAATCATCATGTGCCGCACACGATGTCAATATACGAGTAAAAACCACCGCCTAAAGACTCAACAAATTTTGAAAAAAAGTGTGATTCCAGGGCCGTCCCTTAGTCTAATACCCCCCAAATGACGGATTGCCTACATTTTACTTACCCTAGGTTTCTAACCACTCTGATAACTGTTTTAACCCAAATTCAATCTATATTAGGCCTCGTACAGAAATAACACTGCAAAACTGGGAGGTTTTTTATGATGACGTACAATTTAATAACCGTCACTTTTCTGTGCATTAATTATGCATAATTATAATATTGAATAAATTAATTGATACATCAGTTATTTGTTGTAAGTTACATTTACATATTTCACATATCTGGTTTATCTATAATTTTAATACACCAGTTTACGGTTATGGGCGTTATTTTAAATTACGAGTAAACAAACCAAATTACCTCTAGAGGTCAGTGGTTTATGCGAAAATTAAGATTGCGCCTATGCAAATTATGATGACATCCCTGCCTGCGCGCTGCGTTGTGCGCTCTAATCATAATTTGCATGGGCGCAATCTTAATTTACGCATAAACCACTGACCTCTATAGAGGTCATTTGGTTTGTTTACTCGTAAATTAGAATGGCGCCCATGTCTGCGCATGCGCACTGTTTTAACCGTTACCTGGTCTATTTATTCTGATGTAGTCTTTAGGTTGTGTTATGTCATATTCTTTTTTGCCGTTTACTACTATTTCAATATTTTTAACATGTTTCTTTGGTACATGTAATCTCTCTTTAACTCCCTTTTTTCTTATGCTTAGAAACATTAGTATTAAGAGCTTTATAAATATGATGTATTATTATCATTATTATTGTTGACGAACTCTTTCATTAAAACATTGTTTATTCATCGCAAGACGAACAATAAATTATTTGGTTTACTATTCTCTGTTGTCCTCACATGCGTAATGAATGAAGCGCACAAAGGCATTTGGTTGATACAAATGGCTCTGTTATTATTCTTATTATCTGCTGTTGTTATTATCATTATTATTTTTCATTACTTTATTCAAACTGACATGATAGCAAAGACTTCTAAATTATCAATCTAATGTTATTTCAATAGATGTGTGCGTCACCTTTTGATGCGTTCAACACAGCTGATTGTATTGGAAACCGTGAAGAGGGTTGCAAAAAAGAGCACATTTTTTAAACGGCACTGTCTCAAACTCAAATAGCTCCAGAATCAAAATGTCCTACCCCAAATTTTAATCGGGTAAGAATTGTTTACGCAGATAAAAGAAATGTATTCGTGTACATGTGGGCGTGTGCGTGTGTGAATTAGAAGAGGGGTGGGGGTGATAGTTTCAAGCTCAGCGACTGACTTTCTCATAATCTTGTTTAGAACTTGTTGTTATTGCTCATTTTTTGTCCTTAATTATGTAGAATATAAAGATGAATGTTATCAGCCGTCAGAGATTAGATTGACGCATCACGGCTACCACATGGAAGTGGAGTGGAGTGGAGATGGTGCACTTTTTGTGTGAATGAATCTGATGACCGGGGTATATTTTGTGTAAAGCGCTTTATAGAGACGCTCTTTCTATACAAATCTCAATTATTACCATGAACCTTTTGAACAGTTTTTTCTTGAAAAAGAAGAGAAATAAGATAAAATAATTGCATTTCTATGTACAGTATCTCTAAAGTTCTCTTACAGTTTCGAAAGAGTGGGAGAGAGAGAGAGGCAGCCAAACTTACCTCAAATCAAGCAACCAAAAAAACAAAACATAAACAAGAACAAGAACAAGAACAATTGAATGGTGGTATGACCACAAGGGCGCTATACAACGTGAGTTAGGGAATTCAACATTGCCACAGCAATGGGACAAAGTATGGTTTAAAAGAAAGAAAAGGGAGAAAGAGAGGGAGAGAGAGAGAGAGAGAGAGAGAGAGAGGGGGCAAGAGAGAGAGAGCAAAAGAAGTAGATAAATAATTATGATATATCTTAAATGGATAAATGGTTATCATCATACTTTAATGCTGTCTACCTGGAAACGGAAAACTCATATCAAAGCGTGGTAGGTATAGGCCGTACGTGTGCATAACAAAATAATAGACATGGTTAAATGCCCAAGAAGATCTTTAAAGAGGGGGGGGGGGGTACTGATGAGGCTTCTAGGAGTAAACAAGATGATTATAACCGTTTGTATTGTTGTGTAGTATTGAAAACCTTGGTAACTGGTCTGAATTTGAGCGGATTATTGTCTGATTTGGAGGTTCTTTAGCCCAGGGGCCTTCAATAAGGGGGTATTATGAGCCTTTAGAACCTCATGCCAAAGGATAAAGTTCTCAAAACGTCAATGCATAAGTTACTACTTATGTATTTTAAGTCCGTTGTAGAAATTTTGCAAAATTAATACTTGTAGGAATTTTGGCTCAAGATGTCAAAATGACATAAGCAGTCTAAACAGAATGAAATTTGTTGCTGACGCGCGACTCCGGTACTGAGCTGTTTGTCCAGTGTGTGACGTCACTATTCAGAGCTCGCTACGCTCGTGTGTTTGGCTTACGTTCAGGGGCGTTCGGGGGTCTAAGAAGGGTCTTGAAAAATTGCATTTTACGCCTTTCCATGATATCTATATGATTTCTCAGCAAATTATTCGTGTTTTTCAAGAGAAAATCTTTCCATCCGTATGTAATTTGTTCTAATTATCAGTTGTAGTGAATGTTTCTTTGTGTAGCTCCTTTAAAGGTTAAATTGTTATAATCAGACTTACTGGCGACCTGGAAACGCTTATCAAAGGAACGATAGGTATTGGCCGTATGCATAGCAAATCATAGACATGGTTAATGCCCAAGAAAGGTGGTATGATATGCTAGTTGACGGACTTGATGTACCGTATAGAATATTACATAATTGCAGTGGTAGTCACAAGGGAGATGGGGAGGTGGGGGAGGGGTTATTTATTGACATAGCCATTAAGTGGCAGACCACGGGAAAAGGCGGGGTCACAACTTGTATCGATACTTTAACCGATCTTTCTGCCTCTCCCCAAGAAAAGTCGTCAACGAATCATTAACTGAAGTCAACAGTAAACAGAAATACCACCCATTACATTTTAGAATTACGATTCTTGTATTTATCATTGCAATAAATGATAATATTATTATTGGATCTAGTTTTCTCGTATTATCCCATTTATCATATTGGTCTTGTTTCATTCGATGTGTTCATTATCGTTGCATTTGAATGGCTGTGAGCAAAGTTGTCGTAGAAATGTGAAACTTGTTATTGATAAAAGTTTTTATAAACGCCGGGCCCAGGTACCTATTCTTCAAGACAGTTTTGTTTAACAGCCATCACGGTCTAGAAAGCGGGGACAATATTTCGAATCCTTTCAAATCTTTGAAGGAAAGGCTCCTTGTTAACGTAACACTATTAAAACGGACCATCTTAACGACTTAACGGTCTAGACAGAATAAATACAATACAAGTGGAATGGGGGGATCAAAAAGTAACGAAAACGACCAAAAGAGCAGAGAAAGAGAGAGAGAGAGAGAGAGAGAGAGAATGCTGTAACAAGGTCACAACTTTTAATTATACTTTACCTGATCTGTCTGCTTCCACCCAAACAAATAGGCAACATAGCTTTTTTGATACAGCCACCACGGTCGACTGGTTTACCAGAAAGAGGGGACAATGTTTCGAATCCTTTCAAATCTCTGAAGGAGAGGCTCCTTTTGTTAACATGTCTCTATAAAAACGCACCTCCTTCAAGAATTACCAACATTTTTCATCGATACATTCTACCCGAAGGTACTGGTTGAATCGTGCTATGATGGAAGGCTACACTATACTCTCGCTTCTTCTCTGCCTCAGTGTGCCAAGTGCATTAGCCAACGATGGTTAGGAATACACTTCTTCCATTTACTTAGTATGTATCCATGCCGTGATTATTGTCATTAATTGACCATTTATTTGCCAGGGGGAAGAGGGGGGGGGGGGGGGTGATGGGGCCCAACAAACGCATACGGGAGAAAAGCCTAGCTGTATCATAACTAAATACAGGAATTAAATAAGGTAAATTTGCACCCTGGAGAATTAAGAGGTAAAATTGTGAGGGGGGGGGGGGTCAACTTTATTTTTTAAATCTAACGAAATCAACGATCAGTTGTTGAGCTACTTTAAAGAGGTCTGTACGATGAAATACTTTAAGACTCTCTTTTCTTAGGGTAAAGATTTTTCGTTGGTAAATCACTTTATTGATACTTTTTTTTTTTTTGGTAAAATGAATTTATTGATAAATATATGCTTTTGAACAAATCAAACAACCATACACAATCAATTGAAATAACATTGTAGCATCTTAACATAGTTCAAATAAAAAAATGTTTTACAGTTCCTTTCGATCTTTAATCGGTTGTGGATTAATGTTTTGAAAATACAAAGTATAGAGACTTCATGAAACATGAGTTTGCGATTTTCTGCTTGCATAAATGTTAAATAAACTGCGTATTTTGCATATATGATAAGAAAATTTAAACTTTTAAATATTTTGTTTTTCAAGTTATAACCTTCAATTAAAACGAATTTGTCAAAAGAAAAATTAACATTGTAAAGTTTTCGAATTATGTCTCCAAATTTTAACCAAAACAATCTTGTGTGTTTGCATTTTACAAATAAATGGAGATTGTCGTGTAACTGATCATCATATAAACATAAGGGATTGTTATACAATTTCCATTTGAATAAATTATACCTATTTGGTAATAAGTTGTGTAATAACTTAAAATTGAATTCTGATATTTTGTTTTCTTTCATAGCTTGTAAATTAAATGACCATATGACTTTCCAGTCGATTTTATTGATACTTGATATAACACAATAAGAAAAACACAGGACTTGACCTGAATAATGGTCCTTGCATGTAATGTAAAAACATACAAATCATTAAAAAACAACTTTAAACAATCGTTTTGTTACTAAATAATATACAGATTATTAGTAACCACGTATCAATATCGATTCAATGTCGGAAATTAGTAAGAGCATACTTTATTTCTTTATATTCGTGAATTTTGTGTAAAATGCTCTTGTTTT